AGGACCTTTCTGTGCTGTTAAAGAAAAATGATCATGAATAGGAATTTTTCTGAACAGCTCACTGCTTAAGACAGTGCTTAAAAATGCCTAAAACATGCAGAGTTTGAGCAAGGCAGTGTAAAACAAAATATTTTTACGCTTCATTGATTTCACCCTTATTTTACTCACTGATCTTGCTTTGCTCCATGAGATTTACTGGAGGAAAGTCTAATTTACTGCAGCAGATCCCAACATCAGAAGTGACCATGGTGTGCAAACCAAGAGGGGAGGCGGAGAAGTTCTGCTGTTGATGTCTAACCCAGCTCTCACATCCCCACATTAAGGAATTGCCAGAAATCCCCTCAGAACTGGGTCAAACTCAGGCCCAGAGATGCAGAACAAGGCAATGGGTGCATGTTTACATCCCTGCTGGATCAGAAAATGACTCTGCATTATAACTTCACCCTTTCCCCCACACACAGACAGCCCTAGATGACTTGCACATCCTGAAGCAAATTAAATTCTCATGGTTTTGCCCTTAAAATGAACCATTATTTCCTGAAGGTGGATACAGAGCTCTTTAAGGAGGCAGAACATCATGTGCCAGAATCCAGCAGCACTGCCCTCCTGCAGGCTGGAACTCACCCCATCTGCCAGGGGGACTGAAATTCCAATACATAAAGGGCCTCTGAGAAGGTGAATGGAGGATGAACTCTCTAACGAAAATATATATTTCAAGAAGTAGTGCAATACTTCATTTCTGAAAGTGCCTTTTGATCATTGTAACCTTTGGTTTTAACCACTCTGGTGTCCCCTGCCAAGTGTGGTTTATTGATGACACATCATCATGGTACCAGGAATGGACTTGTTGATACCTTAAATAATGGGTCTACTTTCAGACCATTTTTATAGCTAAAAATTCTCATGGCATAAAAGAGTCATCATACAGTTATTTCACTGTGGAAAACTGTTATTTTTCTTAGAATAACTTTGAACTCCAACTTTTTTTGAAGGGGGTTGTTTTTCAAATAAAACCCTGCTTCTTTTCTTCCCCCAAAAACTCCACTTGTATTAGCTGGAACGACACCAAATCCACAAAGATATGTATTCAGACAGATTGTAAATTTAGCTAGAGCACTTATGTTACCAAATCCAAACAAAGATCTAAAGCAAGATGCAAAATATCACACACACACACACAAAAAAAGTTCCAAAATATAGGGAATGGGATTTTTAAAGCTGAGCAAGGGACTCAGCCGTACAAATTCGAAAGAAATTGATTAATTATGTGGTTGATAATCTTGGTTTATATGCCATGTTAAATCCTCATATAACTTCATTGTCTTCAGTGAAGTTGCACTGCAGATGTATTTGACAGATAATCGTGATTCTTCTCCAAGAAAAACTTCTAAGGCAGAAGTTTTAAACATGAGAGTCCTGTGCCAAGCTCAACCCTAATTTATACCCTGTACAGAACAGCTGACTTGGAAGTGAAGGTGTCAGGAAAGGCAGAAGGAGACATGAGTCTGTTCTTCCTTTGCTGGGACATTGCATCAATTCCCTTTGGTGATGGTCATGTCTCCGAATGGTGAGAATCCACAGCGCAGCCTGTGGGAGATTCTTTCCTTCCAAGCCTGCAAGTTCTTGTATTTCACAAGCTGCAAGTGTTCAGGGAAGATCCTGGACTAGTCTCAGCGGAGAGCCATGAAATTCACTCCTATTAACTACTGCATCAATCTGAACCTTGGCTGCTTCAAAATGAATTTGAGGATGAGCACTGGAAATGGCCATTTTAATATGAATATTGGAATTAGTCACTTAATTTAATCAGAAAATAATGTGTTTTAGACCGAGAGGTCTCTGTTATTTTGAATCAAAACCCAGATGGGTTTTCTTGAGTTATTTTTAGCTCATTATTAGCATTAAACATGGCTAAGTAAAACTGACACACCTTTGCTCAGGTGAGAGGGAAGTAATGCCCATCTCAGCTCCTCTTTTATGCATCATTACTAAGGACATGAGGGAATTTTATTATTTCACCCAAAGCATCATTTAAGCCAGCAGCAGCAATTTGACTGCTTCAGCTCTAAGTCTAGAAAATTGCTAAAGTCCTCAATCCTGATTCTTCTGCTGGCAGAGTTATTTTACAGCAAAGTGATGTAATCTGGCAGTGAGTGAGCTCAACATAAACAGCGTGGCTCCACAGCAATACCCCTGCTCCAGAGGATCATTGCTGGGACAGGAGGCACCAAGCCAGCAAGCTGGTCTCCAGACTGACAGCCCAAGCACTTGGATGCCCTTCCCAGCTCTTCCTTCATCATCTATTTTCAGTCAAATCATGCAGCAAAGTCCCATACATTGTTTTAATACCCCACTGGATGTCAGAGGCCCATCTGCTGAGCAATGAGGCAAAAGTGAAGACATTTCCCATCCAACATAGTCTGCAATACTTGTAAACAGAACAGGCTCTGGATCAAGAGCCTCTCACGCTCCCCATCTGTGAAATGCAGCTAGCTGCTAATCTTCAGCCTCATAAAAATGTGTGGAAGTAAAAAGCTTTATAGGATGTGCTGTTTGAGCACTGCCATGAAAGAGAGCAGCAGCATTTTGAAGGTCAGAAGCATGGAGGCTGAGCAGAGCCAGCCTTGGAGTAGCAGCAGTCCTGCAGAGCCCCAAGGTGCCCCAAAACAGACACAGAGCATTTGGTTCTGGAGATGGTGGTTCCCCACTCACAGGAGTTGTGATAAGGGGGTATTTTCTTCCCTTCACTGGACCCAAAGAAAAGGAAAGTACTTATAAAAATACTTTATTGGCAGCAGTGCCTAGCAAGTGGCTCACTATGGTTTCTGTGCCCACCTGTGAGGTCTGCTAGCAGAGAGACTGATTGCCATCTGTCTGTGCACCTCCCATCCTTCTTTCTTTAGTTTTGCACCCTCCTAAACATGTAATTATTTATGTATCTGCATGTTCTGGAGATAAATACAGCCTAACTTCCCCCTTCTCAGCAGAGCTTACACCTATGATCTCTAATTCTTCTGCAGCACTGCAGCCCTGCACCATTCCATCCCATGTACATAACTGGGTTATGTACCCTGGGTTTTTATGTAACCTGGGTTTCTCCTCCCAGGCTCACCTCAGCACCTCCAGCCCAGTTCTACTTCTACTTCTTATGGCTTGTCACCTTCTAATCTTTTATATTTGGGCACCTCCAAAATCAGCTCTTCTCCCTCTTTCCCTTCAGAGCTCTCTCCATGATCTGTCTGTCATGACTGACAAACTTCCAGTCCCTTCCATCATTTCTACTCTCCTCTGCAAGATTTCCATCTACAAGTACAAGGTCATCATAAATAGGGGGACCATGCTAAAGATAAAAATAGTTGGACAGGTTCTTCTGCCTTTTCTCTCTCTTCAGTAGGTTCTCCAGGTCCAGGCACAGGCTCAGGCTCTGCCACACATCACTGCTTCTCCTCCAGAGTATGGCTGTCAAAGAATAATTTTTTTACATCTGTTTGATTTTTAAATCTGTTTATTTTTTTTTATATCTGTTTTTAAATCTATCCTTGACAAAGAAGCTAGTAAGAGAGAATCTATTACTATTAAAGAAGCATCATGACCAAACTTTCAAAACAAGATGCTTGAACTATTCCAGCTATGATAAAAGGTGCAGGAAAAAAAGTCCTGGTGCAACATCACCATGGATGGGAAATCAGCTACATAGAGGTCATCTTGTTTTGTTATGGCATCCAGGTTAAGGGCCATGACTTGAAGAGTTACTTAGACTAAGAATTGCCACATCTACTCTGAGGAACAAGGATTAGCAAAGCCTAAGCCAAAAAATCAAAGTAGGATTTCCTAAGGAAAATAGAAGCTTAAAATAACACCGGGTACAAATTGCTTCTTGTATGGTGATATCATTTCCTTAGGATCAGCTTCTTATTGCCCCTCCAAGTATAAGGCATAGTTAATCTTCTGATTAATATTTTGATTGTCTGATTAAGGGAATCTTAATTCATTAGATTTATTCTGCAGACTCTTGCTTTATCCTACTGTTGGGCATGGAAGTCTGGGATGGAGGGTTTCTCCTGACTTCAGTTTTAAAAATAATCAGAACTCGGTTTTACTGTCCACCTGCAACCAAAAGAAGAACCCATCATATATGGGTCTGATGACAAGGAAAGGTTTTCCTGTAGCTATAATGGCTGCACTCATAGCTTGTGCAGTGATATCTCTGGCTCCTTTTGCAGAAAGGATTTTGGATGATTTGCAGTGATAAATTATTCATTTACATCACTAGAAATTCAAAGCAGTGCTTGGTTTTAAATTCAAGAATAATCAAAGTCTATATAAGTTGTTTTAATGGGTTTGGGGCAATAGAAAAACTTAAATACAAGAATATAAGTAACAAGAGCTTATCCTATAAGCTGAAATTAAAAGCTACCTGTCCAGTGCTCCAAAATCTAAACTTTTTTTTCTATTTCTGCAAATTGATTAATAGCATGTGTTGACCATTGGTTTGAAATATTTAATGTGTTTTTTTCAAGTAGGCAAAATGTGGAAATTAAACTGTTACAAGGAAGGCATGCCAAAACAGAGAAGGAAGCTATTTAGCCAATTATTTCTGCCTTACAAGGATTAAAATCCAAAGGAAATTTTTCAAGAGTAAAATTATCTTGATCCACCCTTTATTTTGAAATGTCAAAGCTGGTTCCAAAACCACCAACACTTTAGGTATCCTATAATCACTTTCCACTGGTTATAGGATACCTAAAGCATCCAAAGTAGTGGCTTTTGTTTGTTTGATTTTGTTTGGTTTGTTCTGTTGCCCCCATCCAAAAGTGTGAAGTGGCCCACAGACAGACACAAGTTCTAGAGTGCCACAATAAGCAACCCTGACTCCTGCTCACAGTTCAGGGGAGCTGCTACCTGTCCACTCACACAGAAAACTTTGCTGGGAAAGCTTTAAAACAATCTGTTGAGTTGGTGTCTTGTCCTTCTGACCCGAAATCTCTTTGTCCCCCCAGCTCTCGTGGTGCGCTTCCTGACCAAGCGGTTCATCTGGGAGTACGACCCAACGCTGGGTAGGTGGCTGTGTCCTGGAAGCATGGTGTGGCATGGCGTGGCTGAAGCAGGGGAAATCACAGAGCTAAAGTTCCAGTCAGCATCTAAATTTGTTGCAAAAAAAAAGCTTCTCTATGGTCATTTTAAGCTGGAACAAATTGTTACCTAAGATGACAGAATAGAGAAGCAGCAGCACCAAAGGCTGAGTTGGTGTAAGGCACATTTCTGCCCACTCATAAATCCAGGGGAATTCTGCCATTGAAGTAAATTGCTTCAGTATTAAACTCTTCAAATAATTTCATGTGAGATCAGTCTTCTCCTTTTGAATAATCCCAATGTCTTCTGCTTGAGAATAAGATGGACTGGGATACAGACCTGTATTCTGGGATAGAGATCTTAAAAATCTGTGGCCAAAAACCAGTTTTTACAGTCAGCCTATCTAGACTTAAGTAATTTTTTGGTCCTCATTTTCAAACATATATTGTCTCTTATTTTTTGAGTGACCAGATAGGGTCATCAATCCTCTGAAGGGCATGTCCCTTCCACTGCTCCCACTTAGCTTTTTTGGGTCTGGCATTTTCAAGAAGCTGTCTCAGATAGCTCAAAAAACCTGTTGAGCAATTACCCTGAATTAGAGACATCGCTTAAAATTTGTGCCAAGGTTAATTTTCTTAGTATTTCTTAAGTTAGTATATATTTAAATGATCTGCAAATCCAGGCCAAGAAGTCCTAGACAAGACATTCACTTCTTAGATGCTTTCAATACCTCTGGACTAAGTAATTCACGTGTAAAGTAAAGGGCTGGAAAATTCTCATTTCTCCAACAATATGTTCCTTTCTCCTTCCTAACATTTCTTTGCAGGCTCCAACCCAGATCATACGGTTAAATATCAATGTCTTTATTAATGTTCTTTCCTTAAAAGGTTTCATTAAGGAAATAGAAAATGCCATAAAATTGCACAGCAGAAATGAAGTTTAATATATTCCATTACAGAACCCAGGCAGCCCTTAGTAAAAAGCAAGTATCCAGGATTTTTGTTTGGCAAAATGGAGAGATAACAGATATCAAAACTCCCATCTTGGGAAAATAAATCTCAGCACAACTGAACTCAAATACATTCTTTTATCTGCTACTATCAATGTAGTCTTCAGTGAATTATGTGTCACCTGTCTTGTGCTGCACAGTGGAATGTTCAATAGAATGTTCCTTTGATATTGTTAGTGTTAGTATTTCACATTTCTATTACTAGTACATCATTCTCAGAACTTGACAAGAATTGTATAAAGCCTTCTCTATCAGTGTGGTCCAAGTTCATCAATTTCTTAAGGGCCATTGCATACAAAAGCATCCCTTTTGCCTTGTTTAAGCACACAAATGAACTTATTAGCCAGCTACAAGGTTTATTATTTTTTGCCCCATTATGAGGGCCCCATGCCCTTTGTGCTGTACAAGGCTTGACATTTGTTTCTGTTTTACAAATGAATAAAATTGCAAATTACCTTGCTCCTCAGGAATCTAATTGTCTTCTCTTTGCAGCACGGAAAGCTTTCATGCAGGCAGCAGTCTTATCTCAATAAACTAAAAAATTAAATCTCTTCTGATTTACTGAATTTTACATCCTCATTCGGTGTAGAGAATAATAGTTTAAATTATGTATTATAGTCATTGTGATGCTCAGCTCTCTAGGTTGCTCCAAGGAAAAGGGTTGAGAAATTCAAAAACTAATAAACTCTCGACAAGGAGTTATTTCTTAATCACAGTAATCTCTGGTGGAAGCTGCTCACCAATAGATTGTTTTGTTAAGTATTATTTTGTCGAACTGCAGATCACAATGGGATTCAAAAAGGTTCTGAAGTGTTAGAGATGACAAATTATCTTGAAATTGCAACTGCTATTTAGCCCTTCAGAGATCAATGAGAAAGAAACTGCACCTTGAAAAACTTTGAGAACCAGTGCCTGAAAAAATGCATTTCTGTTTTTTAGCATTGTCATCCTGCAGCAATTTGGTGTCCACTTACTTGTAAACATCTGAATTCACTGAGAAGTTTCAGCAGAATAGATTCATTTCTTCTCAGCAGCCATGGGCTGTGGAAAGAGGGATATCGATATGCTCAATCAGTATAAAAATTAAAGTTGTGTCAGTGAGGATAATTTCCTCCACCAGGGAGAAATAAGCAGCTTTGTCAAGCTATTCTAAAAGGACAGCAGTAAAACAGATGCAAATCATCCAGCTACTAAGAAATGGGAGGTTTTGCCAAAAATCACTGGGGCTGAGACAAAAACATCAAATTTATAGTTTATTTCGTATGTCAAGTGTTCAACCACCCATTAGCCCTCTGATGCAAGCAATCCCCAGATAATTCCTATTTTTAGGAAATCTTTCACCAAGCTATTCAAGGCCTGATGGAAATTCAACATTAACCCAAACTAAGCATCATATTTTAAAAACCCAACTTTTAACTGGAAGGGGAAAAAACACCTTATAAATATTCCTTACTACTCTAACCTGAATAAAATGAAAGGTCATATTTTCAGCAGCACCTGGATAGGATGCTGGTCCACCAGGAGCCAAATTGCCAACCACAAAATAACATTTTCTGGCTGGAGGAGCATCACTGAACCTTGCAAGCTTTGGAAAACGAAGCTGCTGCTGAAGTCAGGGCTCTGCAGCTCTGCCACTTTGGTGCAGATGTTGGATCTGTGCAAACACTGGCAGGACAGCTGCATCTTCACAAAAGTACATCTCTCTGCTTTTTATTTAACTGTTTTCAGCCAAAGGGCAACAACCACAGCAAAGGTCATTTTCTGGGGAGTGTTAACCATCAGCCTTGACTTGTCCAATATTTCTGTTTAACTGGCAACTCATTGTAACTATCTTGGCATGAGGTTTTTGTTTGCTTTTCCAAAAGGTGCTAAATTCCTCAAGGTAAATTCCTACCTGGCATTATTAATGTGAATGGGTTTCCACATCCATCTTCATTTACAGTAAATTGCAGCTATCTCACATTTTCAACAGAATGAGATGAAAGAACTCTGTGTAGAAATGGGTTAGAATAGTACATTTTAAAAAATACATACATGCAGTTGTTTTCTAAAATATTAAATACATGAAGGATTCAGCATTAAACTAGTCGTTAGCTGGTTAAATATGCACTGAGAAAGGGGGTTGGGTTCCCACATGGATTTCACCAAAATTCATTAAAGTTTACATGTTTTTAAGTAGAACAAAACTTGAAAAACATATAAGCAAGCTCAGAGTGATGTTGGAAGGCCTCAAAATGCTTGGCCTGGGTAGGGCAGCAGTGAAGTCACACTCTTGTCATGAATGTAGGACTGTCATGGACCTCAGTGACCCCAGGGTTTGACCCCATAATTTTCATGGATTTCAGCAGGGAATAGCTGCTCTCCCCAGCCCCAGTAAATTGCAATAACAATTTTTGAGTCTGCATCTCAGCAATTCCCCCCAGGAGCTACTGGCAGTGCCCAGAATGTATGGTGCTTTCACCTGAGCTCAAAGAGGGAGACATATTGTGGTTCACTTTGATATTTAATTTATTTTAGAATTGGAGATGCTGAATCAGAGTAATCAAGGAAACTGCAAAATCTATTTTTTTCCTGGGAGGCAAAAAAAGGAGGAGAAAGCCCAAAGAGCTATCACAGCAGCAGACAGATAGAGAGTCTGCAGAGAACTTCATGGGTTGCAGCAAATTTCTGCCTCTATAAGCCATGACATGCAGGGAGAATCTCCTGGATCAAATGATGAAGGAAGAAAATTCATCATTGCTATGGCTGACCGCTTTTAAAAATAACTTTGCAGAATTTCTCTGAGAACACATTTGTTGTTCCACCAAAACTTGAACAAGTTGCTTTACTAGAAACAGAGCTGGGGTA